AAAATGGTACAGGGTCTCACTACACAGCTCAAACTCGGAGTGAACCTTCTGTTTTCAGCCTCCCCAGCACTGGGATTACAGGCATATACCACTATGCCCAGACTCAGCTGCCGGCTCAATGCGCCCGGGGGCAGGGCCCGCATAGCACGTGCTGCCATTGATTGAACCCTGGTCCCTGCACTTGCCTAAGCTGGCACTTGGTCTACTGAGCTATCTCGCCAGCCCTGATCTTTTTTTTAAAGGACAGAGGTGTGTTATTGCATGCCTGGACCAAATCAGAAGACATTTTCTTGTCCTATTAACTGGTTATCTGAGGGGAAGGGAGAGATGCTAAGGATCACTTCCTTCTGTACTGAACATTCTTTCCTTCTCTTTCCTCTTCCCCTACCCACGTTTTTTTCTATTTTTCCAGTATTAGGGGTTGAACCCAGGGCCTTTGTACTGAGCTACACCTCTAGTTCTCTGATTTTGTTTTTTCTAGACAGAGTCTTGCTAAGTTACTCAGTTGCCCAGGCTAGACTTGAACTTGCAGCGTGCTGGGATAATAGGCATGTACCAGCAGCTCTGAGTGCTGCTTAGCTTCATTTTTTTTTTTTTTTTCTTTTCGCATTGGGAATTGAACTCAAGACCTTGTGCTTGCTAGGCAGGTGCTTAGCAATGTTCCCAGCTTAGCTTCCCTTCATTTGTTTGCAGCATATGCTTTTGTAATCAGAACACAAAACAAACCCCATGAGCTTGCCATGATAGCAGCAGACAAACCAACTGGACAGCACAGAAAAGTCCAGACAGAGCGCCTACACCTGGAGATCTAGCATATGACACAGGGGCCAACTGGAACCATTCTTAGGGTAAGATTACACACTATATTGTACTAGAGTACTTTTGGAAAAAAAAAATTAGACCCCTTCTACATACACCAAAAATAAATTCCAGATAAAGATTTAAGTGTAAAAAAATGAAACCCTAAGGAAAAAATGCAAATGAATGTTTATATCATCTTGAAACGAAGGTTAGAGAGACCTAAGAATCATGTCAAAGGCGAAAGTAAAAGACATGTAACAAAGGATGTAAAACATGCATACTGCCCAAAGGCATAAAGCACATTCTATGACAACGTCCAGGTCCAATGCCAGTCTGTTTCCAGCCTGGCTTGGCAGGCAGCATGTTATAGCTCTAAGTCTTGGGATTTTTCATTTGAAATACATGCTGTTTTTTCAAGTGGCTGAGCACATAAGCGGTGCTGACCAACTCTCCTCCTCCTTGCCGGCAGGCTGCACATGCGAGGCAGGAAAGGCAGGGATGCAGCTGGGTAGAAGAGGGCAGGGGTAAAGATGACAAGCTGCAGGGGTTCTGGGCCTCAGGTGCCTGGGCCCAGGTTGCTGACCACTGGTAGGTCTGGGCAAGATAAAGGGTTGTGAGTCTGCGAGCTGCATGGGGTGTCTTGGCTAGTGGGAGGCTTGCTCCAATCCTGGGGGCACAGGAAAAGGGGGGCCCCGGCGCAAGGAGGTAAACCACAGAATGGGCTCAAGAGCCAGGGCAACAGCATGTACTACAAGCAGAGGTTGCTAACAACTGGAGAGTGAAGTGCAAGACCCTCAGCTGCCCCGACCTCCCAGGCCCTCTCCTGCTTTCCTGTCCATCCTGAGTCTACCCACCTGGTTTCAGTGCACAGTCCCAACCCCCACTAGAGCTCCCTGCAGGTGAGGGAGGTCTGACTCCCTGCCTGCCTCTGGCCCCCGCGCCCCGCAGTCGTGTATGTGAGGTGGCCAGGCTGGGGAGGAGGCCCTGGCAGCTCACCTGTAGGGCTGTGCCCCCTAGCTCCCGCTGGGCGCTCATGTTCAGCAGCAGGTCCAAGGCAGTCTGTGTGGCCATCGCGGTGGACTCTTCAGCTCCTGAGGGGCAGGGGGGTGGCTGAAAAGGGGCTGGAAAAGGGCACCAGCCTCCCCCCTGCAATCTGCCAGCTTTTGCCAGAGCTCACCCTGCTGGTAGATGATGGTGGCGCCACCCAGGGTGTCGGAACAGAGCAGTGGGGAGGTCTCAGGGGACTGGAAAGGCACAGCCTCTGAAGGGAGCTGCAGGCAGGGATATGGCCAAGCCTGAAGCGGTGGCCCGGGCTCGAGGGACCTTACCAGGCCCCTCTGCCCCATCAGCATCTTCCACCTTTCAGCCTATTTCCTCTCCATATCCACCTACAAAAACTTTTTTTGTTGCTGTTGCAGTACTGGGGCTCAAATCCAGGCTTTTGATGCTCAGTGACTCGCCCAGTTCATTTATTTTTTTAAATGAAGTTTATCAGTACATTTAAGATAACTTAAATGTAACCAGCCCATTTCTTTTTCTTTTTCTTTTCTTTCTTTTTTTTTTTTATTTTTGAGACAGGGCCCTGCAACATATTGCTAAGTTGCCCAGGCTGCTTTCAACTTGCAGCCCTGCTGCTTCAACCTGAGTACTGGGATTACAGGTGTGCACCACTCTGCACTTTTCAAGATACTGACCAGGGCTGGCCAGAGAGTTCAGCAGACTAAAGCGCCTGCTTAGGCAGGTACAGGGACCGGGGTTCGATCCCCAGCGTGCCTTGCCGGCCCTGCCCCTGGGGCCCACTGAGATGTTGAATGAGACTGGGAGTGGTGGCACATGCCTATAATCCCAGTGCTCGGGAGGCTGAAAAGATCACTACAAATCCGATCTAAATAGTGAGACCCTATAAATCCTGTGTTAAATACACACACACACACACACACACACACACACACACACACGATATTTACCAGCTCAATGCTACAGAGGAACCTCCTAGGCCCAAACAGTGAAGTGGCTTGCCTCGGAGGGCCAGCACTTGAACCTGTCTGTCTGATCCGGAGCCTGAGTTTCATGCACATGCCGTGTCATTTCCAGGGCTCATGTGGCAGAGAAAGCGAGCTTTGTACCCTAAGTACATCTTGTCTTGCTAACAGCATTCTGATTTTCTTGAAAGGAGACATCATTCCCAGCTATATGACTGGATTTCTCAGCATCCCTTCTGCTAGGTAAACTGCCCAGCAGTTCATGAGGAAGCTAGGTGGGTAGAGAGCAGACCTCCTTTGAATTCTTCCTCCTGCTTGCTGCCTAGGAGGCAGCTGAGAAGACTACTGTTGCACGTACATTGCAATACGAAGGGACGACAAAGATGGAAGTTACAAGCCTATGGGGACTGGGCAAAATATTGACACAGCCTGGCCTGAGTGCCATGGAACTGCCACACCATCTCTGGACTGGAACTGTTTTATAGAAGAGAATAATAATCTATCATTATAATTAAGCCACTGGTATGTCTGTTCTATGTAACAGCACTAAAAGTCTCCCTGACCCCAGGCTGCAGACTGGCCTATCAGTGATTCAGATAGCACAATCTAGGGACAGGGATCATTTTGTGGCACCCCAATGTGCAAAGGATCCAAGGTTAGGAGATGGTCACCTTGGCCCAGCCTTGGGCCCCTTGGCCCACCTCCGGCCAGGCCTACCTCAGGAGGTCCTGGGGAGGTGGAGGGTAGTGCTGGGGTTGCGCTATGCTGCTGTTTCAGTTCCTCAATTTGTTGCAGAGAGAAAAAGGGACGGCGGCGGGAAGGGGGCTCTTCGGGGTGGCGCCGCCCCCATTCCTCAAAACTGCTTGCATGTCGGCACCGGACGTGCAGGCGGAGATTCTTCTTGTGTCTCGTGCTAAAGTGGCAGTACTCACAAGCGAAGGGCTTGGCCCCTGCAGGAGAACAT